TTTATTTTGTATGTATTATTATTCTAATTGCTTTATGATTGTTTTTCCTATTATCTTTGATTTATACTTGTTATTATATCATTCTATTTTGTTATATGATCATGTTAATGTTCGTTTTTGCTCATTTACTAGTTTTATGGATTTTATATCTTACATTGTGTTTTTAATATCTTCAGTTTGAACCTGTATTGATTGTGTTTTTCATAATTAAATTTATTCTTATTTTTGATTAACCATTGTTATACCATGCTATTATATTTTGTTTAAACTACTATGTGTTTTAGAGTTTTCGACTTTTCTCTTATTATGTTATTTATGTTCTGTCTGTTCTATTGTATTTGACTTATTTTGTGTTTGCTTTAGATTTATTGTTCTTACTTGACCTTATTCTTACTTAATATATTTCTGCTTTGTTTTTATGAATGCTTGTATATTATTTGCATGATTCACTCTATATGATTGTTTATTTATATTGTATCTATTTGTTTTGATTCTATATTTTTGCTTATCTTATACTTTATACTGATTAGATTGCTTATATATTTACAAGTATTGTGTAACGAGTTCACACAGTTAAATATGTTTGTATCATAGTATTTGTTTGGACTTTGTTGCGAGTCAGAATTACGATAGCGATATCTTAACTGTCACATCTTGTACCTTACCTTGTGTCGTTTTTGTTTTACATTCTTCTCTGTTTATGGATATTATTCCATATCTCCGTCATTGGATTCTTTCTACATTACTTTTATTTTAATTCCGAGGACGGAATTTGTTTTAAGGGGGGTAGAATGTAATGACCATAAATTTTTAATACTGATTTACATAACGTTCCTGGTATTTAAATATTAAATTTTATTTTTAAAGAGAATAACTATATTTTTACCAATTTTCTAGAAATTTTAATGATTTACAAATCAGGCTTCATATTTATTTGGTTAATTATAAATTAAATTACTTAATTGATCCTGGTAACATTTTAATTATTTTGCTATTTAATTTCGTTTTAATAATAATAATAATAATAATATTTCAATTTTTCAATTACCTCTCTCACCCCACGTTTTCCCCCACATCCCCACTTTCCCCTCACACACCAGCCATCACTCCCGTACACCCCATTTCTTTCTCATTAAATAATTCATTTTTCTCTCTCCATCGCTCACTTCCTCTCTCTGCACACACACACACTCTCTCTCTCTCTCTCTCTCTCTCTCTCTCTCTCTCTCTCTCTCTCTCTTCGAAAGAACCCAAAGACCGCTCCGCCCCAGTCCCTCCTTTCGCCGCCCTAGTCTCCGCACTCGCCGCCGCCCGACGCCAGCGACCC